GTGAGTACCATTTTTGCTACCTACTTAGTCTCTCTCTCTCTCTCTCTCTCTCTCTCTCTCTCTCTCTCTCTCTCTCTCTCTCTCTCTCTCTCTCTCTCTCTCTCTCTCTCTCTCTCTGTCTCTCTTTCTTTCTCTGTTTTTCTCTGTCCTTCTCTTTCTTTGGTAAAACCGAACTGAATCCTCATCCAGGTAGCTTTCGTAGAGATTGCCTTCGGAAATGGATTCTTTTCATGCTGGACACTCGCACGATATGCTTTTTAAAACTGCTTTCGACGGCATTCGTTTCTTTCTTCTCAAGGAAAACGATCTCACGACATGAAAGCTCATGATATATATGTATATATATATATACATTTCTTTTTTTTTTTTTTTTTTTATCATTGGCGAACAAAGGTCTTATATGATTTTGTATTTCTCCAATTTTCAAATATATTTATTTCATAATCTACAATAGGATTATGATAATTTTAACATTTTATCATTTCAATCGACAGTAACATTATCGATTGTACTTTTCTTTTATTAAAACTCACGATTCTATATATCTTCAATATAATATCAAATTATCTTAACTAGCATTCTTATCTAATCGTTTTATATATTATTTGGGATAAGATATTAATTAATCCTTATCGTTAAAGTAATGTTACTGTTAACGCAATTTTATTTTCATTCTTCCTTTCTCTCTTTTTATTTATTTTTTTTTTTTTCTTTTCTTTTATACTTGTAAATATTTTTTAATGAAGTATAAAATTGCTCGTATCGACTCTCATTAACACGTTTTACAAATCTTGATTATGTTGACTTATATAATAATTAATTATCAATTGATAAGAATGCTTATGCCAATCTCATTTTATTCTTTGTTTTACTCTTAAAAATATTTGTAATGAAATATAAAATTGTGATAATATCTTTTTGATTGAACATTAGAACGTAGAAATTCATCAAATATCTCGTCGAGATATCGTTACAAAAAACAAAGCAAAAAAACATGCTGCAATAATTTTCGAATGATAAGAGGTTAAGGTATAAAGTATCTTATAAAATAATTTTGATCAAGTAGATTATCATCCCTAGATAAATATGATCAAATTTTTATGATTGAACAATAATGAAACTATCATTTTTTTTTTACATAAATACAATATTCAAATGTTTCTTTGTTTTTCTTTTTCCTTTTTTTCTTATTTCTTTTCTCTTTTTTTTTTTTTTTTTTTTTTTTTTTTTTCTTCTTTTTAAATAATAATACAGACAAATTTAAAGAAAGAATCGATTAGCCCCGACGTCGAACAGTTCGAGAAAGAAATGGAAAGGTATATAAATATATGTTGGAACGATATTTACAAAAAATATATATGTATATATATATATATATATATATATATGTATATATGCGTGTGTATATATGTTCGAGGAAGCCAAAAGCAATTTCGTCTCGTGTCAACTTTTCGTAGAGTTTGGCGTCGTTCCTTCGATAGATCGCGTCGAATCCAACCTTTGCAAATCCCGATGGAACGAAGGAACGTACATACGTATATATATATATATACATACTCATACACACACATATATATATAATATATATATAATATATATATATACGTATGCACGGACGGAAAAGACTTTTCGTAGGCCGATGCGAAAAGGCCGAGTAGGAAAAAGGATAAAAGGAAGGTGTCGAAGGAAACCATCTCGCACATTTTACGCCGTAAAGAAGGACGGAAATGTGTTTGCGCTCGAAAGTCGCGACTCCAAGGGCGAACCTTTTTCGATTTTCATGTAGCATAAACCAACTGCTTCGATTCGATATAAGAAAAAGAAAGAAAGAAGAAAAGAGAGAGAGAGAGAGAGAGAGAGAGAGAGAGAGAGAGAGAGAAATCATTTTTACCCAGTAGCATGATCGAAACAAGCTGTCGATAAAATTCGATGTAAAATTCTTTTTTCGAAAATATTCCTATTCATTCTTATTGTTATTGTTGTTGTATTTCTCATTTTTTTTTCTTTTTTATTTTTCTTTAACTCTTATCATTTTCATCAATTAATATCATATCTTTGTCGAGAAGGCAATTAACTTTATTATATTATAATACGTAAAGGTAGGCCGAAAGTTATCGATAATGATTTTAAAAATCAATGTCACATAGTGAAAAATAAAGTTCTTAAGGTAATACCTTTAGTTTTAAAGTCTGAAAGAAAAGAAAAAGAAAAAAATTATTAAATCATAAATTCTCCAACTTGAACGTGTAATTAATCGAATATTTTTACTTCGTTTTTTTTTCTCATCGATTTTTCTTTTTTTTTTTATTTTTTTATTTTTTTTTTTTTTTTATCGTATCGTAATTGAACAGTTGTATATAATATCGGTTAGAAACTTTCGGCCCATTGATATGTAATACAGATAATAAAAATGGAAGTATGGATAACCGTAGGAATTAATCGTAATATACTGATTGAAATCGGTGTAATCATGAGGAGAAAACGTAGGCTAAATTATAAGCGGAGTAAAGATAAAAAAAAAAAAAGAGAAGAAGAAGTAGGTCGAGAATTTCGAGAACGCAAACCTGATTTCTACGTTCTTTTCTTTAATCTTCTTTTCTTTCTTTTTTTTTTTTACGTTTAAAATCGTTTTCTCTCGTCGTTCCACTTTTTTCTCTTTGTTTTCTTCTTTCTTTTTTTTCTCTCCCTTTCTTTCTTTCTCTATAGATCGAAATATAAATAAATCCATAAATACTCATAAATCATCTATTTTATACGTATGTATGTATATATGTATATATCGACGAGTGTTTAAAAGGCAAAATCATTTTCACGCTTAACATGTTGATTTTAATATTTTAAAACGTTCAATACAAATATAACGAAATTATTATTTAAACGATCTAACTTACTCGACGGTGAATAGATAAAGTGTTATTAATTCACACATGCGTTAATAATAATAAAAATAATAATAATATATTGTTATTTGTAACTCATATATATATATTATATATTATATATTATATATTATATATTATATATTATATATTATATATTATATATTATATATTATATATTAAATATTATATATTATATATTATATATACATGGTGGATTGCATCAATCATATGGAAAACTATAAACGAAATGAAAATCTAATATTTCACGATACAGATTAAGGTGTTAAATAAGTTAATCGATATGTAAATCAATGTCTCTCCATGTGTATTTCTCTAACGGGAACCCTAAACTGCGAATAAACTTCAGTAGCTATGGCATTTTCCTTGCTGGCAGTTTCGTAAGTAGCAGACTGGAAACTTAGCTTGGTTTATCTGAACTTAGGTAACAGGGTGGCACACAGGATGCGTGTATTGGACGGCGTTGAAAGTGTTAGTGCAACTTTTGATAGGGATGATGGCAAGGGGTAGTAAGGGTAAAGAAGGGGAGAGAGTGCAACGAAAGCACGAGTCCCAACACCTTGAGTTCTCTCTCTCTCTCTCTCTTTCTCTTTCTCTTTCTCTTTCTCTCTCTTACGTGGTATTAAGGCGAATTTCTAAGTGGATAACTTGCCGTATTAGCCAACCGTGTGGCACCTTTCCTCACGTTAACCGGCCTGTCACACCTGCCAGAATCTCTGCCCACCATTCTCTTCGTTTTAGTTTGCCTTCCATTCCCACCCCCACCCACCTCCCACGCCTCCCCCGCTATCCTTTCCCCCTCCCACGAATACGATTCTCTCTTACTCTCTTTACTCTTCGCCTATCCAAGAAACTTCGCAAACACGATTTTCGAATTTAACACCCAACCAACTGCTGAACGTTTTCTTATTAGACTCTACGTTAACGGGATTATAAAGGTATCAAAGTGTTCCGTGAAAATTTCCCCTTTAACTTTTATCATCTTGTTCCATTCGATTTTTCTATTTCTTCGTTTTTAATTTTTCTTTCCTTTTTTTTTTTTTTTATTTATTTATTTATTTATTTATTTATTTATTTGTTTTCCGTTTATTCTCTTGTTTTTATTTTTTGTATCTTTTTTTCTATCTTTATATATACTTTTATCATGTTTGTTTTTTCGATAAATAAAAAAAGTGGAACTAATTGTTGTATGTTACAAAAAATATATTGAATATATCTCTCTCTCTCTTTCTCTCTCTCTCTCTCTCTCTCTCATTTTCTCTCTTTCTCTTAAATTCATATTTTTTAATAAATTGCAAAAGTTGATGTGCATAATTGTTATATGTTAATACAAAAGTTGAATCTTTCTCTCTCTTTCTCTCTCTCTCTCTCTCTCTGTCTCTATCTATCTTTGTTTCTTTCAAATTCACATTTTTTATTAAATTACAAAATGGACCTAATTGTTACATATAAAAAAAAATGTTGGACCTTTCTCTCTCTTTCTCTTTCTCTCTCTCTCTCAAATTCATATTTTTTCTCTCTTTCTTTTTTACCTTTTTGCTTTTTTCTTTTTTCGTAGTACCAGTGTTGTTTTAATTATGAATGCTTTTTTACATTTTTCATTATTTTCGTTGGCTATATTAACGTTAATATTTCCTTCAGCGTTTTTCAAACGTTAAGAGAGGCCAAGGACTCTCGCACAAAGGAACGCAATTCTGCTTGAAATTTACGTCCAAGTTATTGCAGGAAGGATCACTCGCGATTAATCGCCTAGAAAGATTAGAACGTTCCGAGCAAGTATTTTTTATGATGTTGGAAAAATACCGGAGAGCTTGAAGGGCGACATTTTTTTTTCTTTCTTCCTTTCTTTCTCCTTTTTTTTTCTTTTTCCTTTTTTTTTTTTTTTTTTTTTATTTCTTTTTTGCTTTTTACGTTCAAAGTGAAATTCGCCTTTCATTGTGGCTAATACCAACTTTGAAACCGTAACAAAAAAATCACGCCGGTGAAATTCCATTCGATTTTTTTTTCTCCCTTCCGTTCGAAAGAAAACCACAAAATTTATATCAATGTATTTTTGTTATTTTTTCTTTTTTTTATTTTTTTGTTTTTTGTTTTTTATTT